ACTGAGTAATCAACCGAAAGCAGATAAGTACCCACTTACACTTGCCAATGCATATTGCCTATATCAACATTATTAGAGGTAAAATCCACTTTCTATTCTTCCATCTTTTACACCTTGAATGCTGAACCGACATTGGGTCGTGTTCTGTGGAGATGGTTTAACCTCTTGCTCGATGCACACAAATGCATGGAAGTCAAGGGATGGCTTTGAAATGGCAAGACAATGAGGAATGGGTAAATAGGCGGATGCGAATGCACCTACTAATCCATCAGGAATGGCGACTTTTGGAGCAATATAGAGAGAAGGAATGTGGAAAACACAACGGTGTCACAACGGAGGCCCAGCATCTAAAACTTATAAGTGAATGCGTAAACAGATCAAATGGAACAAATGAACAAAACCGTCGAAGTTAAAATTGGCTACAGAGCGACACCTGTGCGAATCAGTGACTTTTTAATTGGACGTGTTTTAAAGACTCCTAAATACAAAGCAAATACAAATGCCTTGCTTCAGCTCTTAAGGCACTGTAATTGCTACAGTTTTATAAGGATTTAAAAGCATTAATGTGTCTGCAGAATGTGTTTTTACTAAGTTAATGAGTGCCGCCTTTTGGCTTTTTTGACCGTATATAACTGTGGGAAGAAATAGATCAAGTGAGAGCTCTGCCCTCGATCAACTTTGATCTCATTAGGCCCGACTTTGACGAGGATGGAAGCGACTCAAAGCAGGGATGCAAAGTCACTCATTTCTGATAATGAATAACGAACTCCATACAACTACATGCGGCAAGCTGCTGGAAGTGGACACCGAATCGCATTTTATTGCATATAGTGCAGAAAGCGGAAGAATGGCATGACCATACTCCTGTCTGACTCCTCAGAGTTTCGAATTGCCCCAATAATGATGTCCTTATTCCATTATAAGGAAGTGGAATTGGACCCTACGTATTTGGCAGTTGTTTAGTCGTCACTGGCACTGACGTTTGCCAATACAAGTCAGCAATATCCATATTCATTCAGGCTGACGACTCAACAGCATCCAGGCTTATTCCCATGCCCGAGATTAATGAGATTTATAAGTTCATGCCATGAGGAAGGGGCATAAAATGCCACTGTCGGAAAAGAGACAGTTATGTGCAGAATTAAGCAAGTGCTAATCTTGGCACTGCTTCCTTCAGTGATCAATCCTCGACTTCGCTAGCATTGGTTCTCCATGTCATCTGCGAATAACTTTGACACGAAATTGGGGTAAATGATGTATTATTAAAGCGCAAGGGCTTATTGTAGGCACCGCAACACAGACAAATGTGCCAGAGATGCTTGTTAGCATAGGAGGCAGTGATGTTCAGATTTAAATAAAATCCAAATGATAGCTGATCTAGAAATGTCTACCTACTTCGCCGCCTTTGCGCATGCCCACCCACATGTAACTTTAAATTGGTTTTTTAAAAGGCCTCTTCTATTTACGGTTTTGGATTTATTACCACTTTTTATTTTGGTTCTCGTGCATTTGAAAGCAGTGACCGAAGATTCGAGAACCGTTTTGATCGCATTTAGGCCTACAAATTTACTGCCATTGAAAAACTGCAGCAAATATTATAAAATTAATAAATTACGCGTATTTTTTTTTTAAAAAAATGCACTTATTTCGTTACATTTTCATCTAGTCTATATTACTTTCCATCTCTAAGCTACAATTCGGACTCTTTTAGCGTTGCATAAATGTGATCAAACTATAACCATTTATATGCCCTAATGCTACAAAAGTGGGATTTCTATTAATTTTAAATTATTATAATGAAATCGGTGTTCATGTGAAACTGAAATAACGCATTTTGTTTTTCTTTGTGTCAAATTGATTAGAGTGTTTTGTTTTTATTTACATACCAGCCTGGTAAGTATAGGCTTTTTATTATGCTTGTGTTAAATTTTTTTTAAAATTACAGAATGCTGTACGCTTAATTTAACACACTGCAATCACGGCCCTATCGAATATGCAAAGGCGTACCTCAGAAAAATATTCGGGAACCTGTGCCTCTAAAAAGTTTGATTTAGTTTGCTTCCATGCAGTTTAGGGACGCTAATTTTAATCGACGCCTTTGTAAGCCACAATAACACACATGATGCATATTACTGACTTATATTGGGCTAGAATGCTGGGAGTTTAGTCATAATACCTACCCTTCGTGCAAAGGCACAATCCATGAGTACTGCGTAGTGCAGCAGATTTAGGAAAGAGTTAACGAATTTTGTACTTTTAAAAAAATTTAAGTTATAACTAACGAAATGTGCTCTATCTTAATTTTTAGCTTCACTTACGCATATCTCAAGATCGCTTTTATCTCATTAGTTGATATCTTCTCCTTTAAACTAATTTAGAGATTAATCACAGTTACTATCCTGACTTTCACTCTTTGTCGATTCTGTAGACATCATTAAAATTTCGGGCCTTTTAGCATCTACCAAATGCATGAGGAAAGTTGGAAAGAGAACCTGTTTCTGAATAGTTTTGATAACCAAGTGACCCTAGAGTCGCCTGTATGGTCTAATGGATGACCAATTCTTATGGTGACGTGGGGCATGAGTCGCGGCTAGCAAGCAACTCCATGGCTGGCTTTTTTGGCCCTGTCCTTCATTTTCCTACTATTAATAGAGGACATGTTAGCTGAAGCAGCTACAAGCCCAGCAACGTCCAACTCGAAACACCCAAATCAGATTGATGTTTCTACTTCTTTACATTAGGAGTCAGTTTTTTAAAGCTGCAAAGGCAATGAATTTCTTCATCTTTAGCATCATGAAAAATGTTACATATAAATCCTATACAAAGGAAGGTAAGGGAGAACGAGCCCTCTTGGTGGAGAGAGTGAGAGCCGCTTATGAAGAGGAACTTATACATTAGTCATACATCCACACAGATTTGGTAGATTACTCATAATTAGCGCTGGCAGGACGCAGACAGTTGGATGCAGTAGGGACGGTTGAGATGATGAGAGCTAAAAGAGGTGGATTTTTCAGTGTGACTGCGGAGGTAAACAGGTATAAATGTCCCCTGAAAGGAGGAGAGAGGGCTGGAAGGAGATGACAAAACCTCTTTTTAAGTCATTTATTTATGTCCTTTGTCAGTGGAATGTAATTTTCCTAATTTCACATTCCCCAGTCATGGTGACGCCAAAAGCTTTCCCCAATCTCAAACTTTATTTTCACTCTCCATTCCATTTTGCTCGTGAAGAAATAGAACG